TGCACCCCACCCCACCCTGCACCCCTGCCATCTGGAGATCTGGGGCTGCAGCCCTGGGTGTGCACAAGGCCTCAGCACCAAAACCAAAACCCAAACTCAAAAAACCTAGAAACAATCAGAACCCTTCAGCCACACATAGATCAGGAAGCCCAGGCCGGCTCTGTCAGTCTGTCTGTCTCTAAGGCTTGTAGAGTCACATCTGTGGCTTTACATTTTTGTTCTCACCTTAGGCAAATCACAGTACTTTTGATCTGGGACTAAGTGAAACAGGGTATTAGGAAAACAGGTCCACTTTGAAACACTTTCACTGATATGTTGTGCTCCAGGAACAAACACTATATAAAAATGTATTGCCAGGTGCTGGTGGCTCACGCCTGTAATCCTGGCTGCTCAGGAGGCTGAGATCTGAGGATTGAGGTCCAAAGCACAGCCTGAGAAAGAAAATCTGTGAGACTCTTATCTCCAATTAACTACTAGAAAGCTGGAAGTGGTGCTGTGACTCAAGTGGTAGAGTGCTAGCCTTGAGCAAAAAAGCCCTCAGAGACAATGCCCAGGTCATGAGTTCAAGCCCCAGGTCTGGCAAACACACACACACACACACACACACACACACACGCATGGATTGTGGAAGGAGGTGGGATAATTTTTCTCATGCTTTGCCAGGGAAACTAAGGCATTTTTGAGGCTTATGCAAAAAGGCCAATTTTAAAAGCTTACATTTGTTTGTAAATATGCTCAAAGTCATTTGTGCTTTTAAAGCTTGATATATGTGATCCTTGTTCTAAACTGAAAGATGATCAAAGAGAATAAGAAAGGAAAGCTCAAGTGGCATACTGGACAGTCGGGTGGCATTCCTGTTTCCAGAAGGCTTAGCCAACTTTTAGTGGGACTTCAGTATTTTTTATGTGTGCCTGTGGCAGGGTTTGAACTCAGGGCCTGGGCACTCTCCCTTCAGTGTTTCCCTCAAGGTTGGCCTCTACCACTTGGGCCACAACTTCACTTCCAGGTTTTAGATGGTCAATTGGAGGCAAGAGTTTCATGGGCTTCCTGCCTGGGCTGGATTTGAACCTCCATCCTCAGATCTCAGCCTCCTGAGTAGCTAGGATGACAAGTGTGAGCCACCAGCCCTGGCTGAGGCTTCAATTGTAGTACAACTTAGAGCGCATTCAGATTCTAGAAAGACCCGGAAACCCCTCTCCTTATGTCACTCGTTCCCGCCTGGAGTCTGGAGCTCCTCCATTCCTCAGGAAGCCCAGGGCCGCGGCTGCGCTGGCTGTGCGTATTAGCTCTTCTGCCAAGGCTGCGCCCCGCCTCCCCCCCCCAGGCGTCTCCTCAGGACGCCAGTAATCCAGTTGCCAGCTAACCGCTCACCCCATCCACATGGGATGTCAGGTTGTATTCTTGCTCTGAAAGCCAGGCCTGTTATTCAGTAATTGAATCTTGGTGCATGTGGAGCCTGGGCGGCTTTAATTCCTGTCTTCAGACTCGCTGAGCGGATTAGCGCGTTTGCGCAGGACAGCGGTGCCGTGCCCTCTCGGGCATCCTGTGGGGTCTGGGCGAGCCCCCCTCCCCCTGCTGGGAAGGGGGGTGCCAACCCCCGCCGGAGGACGCAGGGAATGGGGCAAAGCCTCCCGGCCATGGGGCTGTCCACCGCAAAACCCAACAGTAAACATGTTCCAGGGACGCCAAGGGGTGCTGAGTTTGGGGGATGCTGAGTTTGGGGAGTGCTGAGTTTGAGGGGTGCTGAGTTTGGGGGGTGCTGAGTTTGGGGATGCTGAGTTTGAGGGGTGCTGAGTTTGAGGGGTGCTGAGTTTGGGGATGCTGAGTTTGGGGGGTGCTGAGTTTGAGGGTGCTGAATTTGAGGGGTGCTGAGTTTGGGGGGTCCTTTCTTTGTTACTGCACCTGCTGCAAGGCAGCACCTCAGGTCTGTCTGCCGGGCCATAGCCTGGGGTCGGGGGCAGGCAGTGACCCGGGCTGCCTCTGCCGGGCCATGGCCTGGGGTCCGGGCAGGCAGCACCTCAGGCCTGTCTGCCGGGCCATGGCCTGGGGTCCGGGCAGGCAGCACCTCAGGCCTGTCTGCCGGGCCATGGCCTGGGGTCCAGGCAGGCAGCGACCCGGGCTGCCTCTGCCCACCTCGGCCGCCACACGGAAGCCACGCACTGGACAGCTTGCTTCCACTTCGAGTTGTCAAGTCCGGAGTTCACGGGCATGCGGTGGCCTCTGGCGAAGGCCTCCAGCGCCACCCCAGCCGGGGGGCAGGGGGGAGCCCACAGTGGGCGAGCACAGAGAGCTCAGGGAGGATGGAACAAAAGCCAGGCTTGGCAGCTCACGCCTGTAAGCCCAGCTAGGCGGGTGAGCAGTGTACTTGGGAGGATCGAGGTCCAAGGCCCATTCCTGGCAAATGCATGAGACCCTGTCTGAAAAGCAAACTAAACAAAACCGAGCGGGAGACGTGGCTTCAGGGAGAGCGCCTGCCTGGCAAGTGCGAGGCCCTGAGTTCAAACCCCCATACTGCAAAAAAAAAAGGAGTCGCAGCAAGAGAGGTCAGAAAGGCCAGCCCACTCAGCCCACCCAGTCAGCTGCGGTCCATGAGGGGGCCCGTGTGACCGCGCCTCGCCCCGTGGCTCACCGCGTCGGTCCCCACGCAGTGCCGGCGTCCTCGGCTCGGCCCGCAGCAGTTCCCCAGATACCGGGCCGTCACGGAACTCCTTTCCACGGGCCGTGGATTCCCGCGGGGGGAGAGAACAGCGGCCCACGAGAGGCCGCTACCTGTGATTCCCTCTCCCACGGCCGCCGCCGCCGCGCCAGTGTGCATCTGTGGAAGGGGCGCGCAGACGATGCTTTTTAAAATAATGACCATTTTACAATAAGAAATGACACTTTGTTTTCACACTTGCTTTTTCCACACAACGGTTTGGCCGTTTGGTTTTTCCCTCCTTGGAAACCAAGGCAGGGTCGCATATGTCTCTTTTTTGGCTTTCAAACATCAATAGTCAAGAGGCGGTGGCATCTCAGTTTGCATATTTAAAAGCATCCTCTAAAGACAGCAGACAGGAAACGCAGGCCTAGTGTGTGCTGTGCAGCTGGCAACCTGTGCTCCCTCGGTTCACGCCGTCCAGGATCCGCCCTGGGCCACTGGAGGGACTCCGGACTCCGGAGCCCTGGGCTCTGATTGGGTGGAGTCCGATGAAGGGCCCCACCCTGGGGGGAGGGGACTCCTAATGGAGCCAGAAAGGATTGATGCGTTTTGGCTGGGTTCTAGGCCGAGCCATGCTGTCTTGGCCGACCTGGCTTTGATGGAGGTTCTTGGCTTGTTTCGGGGACTGTGCACCTATTGGGTGGATAATTGGCACCAGTGTTGATCTTCAGCTCAGCCACACAAGGTGGATTTGTGCAGGCTTGACATGTCCATGACCACCCGGCCAACATCGCCCCCTAGTGGCTGTCACTGGAAGCCTGTGGCCGGACCACCATCTCTGGGCCATTCAGAGGGGCTCTGGTGCTGGCTCCTAACCCATGTCCCCCAGCAATGACTCGCACGTGGGGGTTTTGCCCTTTTCTTTCTTGAATGAACAGTAAGCGGACACCAGACATTTCTCAGCCGGTGTGCTAGGTTACCTGGTGCCGTATTTTATTAGAACTTTCTGTCTTTACAGACACAGCCCCTTCAGACAGCATAAAACCAAAGATAAGCATGAGATCGACAGGATGACACTGACTGTGGTAAGAGGTGTTAAACTGTATTCCTTTTAATGCTTTTCCTTCTGGTACCAGTACCAGGGCTTGCATGAGGGGCCGACTGCTCTCACCCAGCTTGTCTGCTTGGCTGGTACTCTACCACCTGAGCCATGTTTCCAGTTCAGTCTTTTGCTGGTAAACTGGAGACAGTCTTTGGATAGACATTTGTGGCCCATGATAGCCTTAAACCCTGATCCTCCAGATCTCAGCCTCCTGAGTAGCTAGGATTATAGGCAAGAGCCACTGGTTCTCAGCACATACGCACGCACACACACGCACACACACACAAAGTTTTTGTTTACATCATAGTTTTACTTTTCATTAAGAATAAAATATTGGTAACTATAAAATATCTTTCAAGGTAAAGATCATATTATGTGGTAATACAAAGAATAATATATCATTGATAAATATAAAAAATAAAATATTTTTCATATCTGAAATACGTAAATAAATCAAAAGAAAATCTCTAGACTTCCTAAAAAAAAAAAAAAAGAATAGAAACAGAGGCCAAAGCAATGCTCAAGATTTGCAAAGCAACAGCACAAGAAAGATGTGAACGAGCCCAGCCCACAGCTAAGAAAGTGACTAAGGGGAAGGGGTCCCTCCTGGGGAGGCCAGAGAGATGGAGGAGGGAGCTGGAGAGGCCCGGGGAGGCCGGAGCCTGCTGTCTTCGTGTCTCCACTCTGCTGATGGATTCAAGCCCTTTTTATGTTTCATTGGTGTGAGTGTTCATCTGTAATGCATCTGCAGTTTCTGGTACTGTCCTTACCTGCTCTGGCGGGGCCGGGAGCCGCTGTCTCCACCAGCGGGCCCTGAAGTCCGCCTCTTCTTTCCACAGAACGTGGAGCTCCCCGACGACTTCTCCCCAGAGCTCAAGTCCCTGTTGGGGGGCCTTCTGCAGCGGGACGTGAGCCAGAGGCTGGGCTGCCAAGGCCGCGGGTGCGTCCCCTTCCTGACGCTCACCTGTGTATTCCCGGCCCCGGGACCCTGTGCCCGACGAGGGTGGAGTGGAAAGAGTATGGAAGGACGCAAGGCGGATATCTGTGTGTGGATCTGTGTCCTTTCTAACCAAGAGTTAACTTCTTTCTGTTCTGAGGCTTGAACTCAGGGCCTCCAGTGTGTGCCGTGTGTGGTGCTCTACCACTTGAACCATGCCTCCAGCTTGGTTTTTTGCTGGGTGATTAAAGACAGCATCTCAGCCTTTACTGCTTAGGCTGCTTTTGAACTGAGATCCAGAGAGGATCTCAGCGGGGCTTCTTAAGGGCCCTGTGCAGGGTTGTGCCCCAGGGGGTAGAGAGCAGACGGAGGCCCAGCCTCTGGGGTTCTGTTACAGGTCAGTGCTGTGCTGCTCGGTGTGTGTGTGTGTGGAGGGGAGGCGGCCTGCACCTGCGTGTGCAGCCTGTGACCCCACACGTGTGGTCTTCATCCTGCTGCCCGTCCCCCCAGGGCCCAGGAGCTCAAGGAACATGGCTTCTTCACTGGCATCGAGTGGCAGCTGGCCTACCTGCAGAAGGTGAGCCCCGCCACCCCGGGCTCCCCACCCGTCTGTCCCTCTGTGCCCAGGCCCCCACCCTGGCCGCCTGAGTGTCCCTGTGTGGCCACGTCCCCCGGGGGCCACCCCCCCTCTTCAGATCCCTCCTTAGGCAGGAAGGAGCTTTGAGTGCACCCAGCCGGTGCGGGCTTCTCCCTCCCCCCCCCCCCCGCCATTGTTCCTGAGCAGCGCAGGTGAGCAGGCGGCTGTGGGAGTTGGTGTGATTTGGGTCCACAGTTTCCTTTGTGTAGCGGGTGGTTTGCACCGAGCCACACCCAGCCCCCTTCCTGTTTTAAGCTTTTATTGTCATATCCATGGATACAGCAAAGATACAAATGATTGTTGTTGTTGTTATTTTGCAGCTCAGGGATTTGAACTTGGAGCCCGAGCTTGTGAGGCAGACCCTCCAGCACTTGAGCCATGCCCCCAGTCCCGTTTTTGTTTGCTTTAGTTATTTTTAGGTAGGATCTCTCGGTGTTTTTCTGGGGCCAACCTCAGGTCCCTCCCGTCGCAGGCGTGGCCAGCATGCCCCACGAGTCCTGCTGGAGGCTTCTGTGGCTCCTGGCTGCCGAGGATGGGGGTTTTCTGTGGGGAGGGAGCCCCAGTTCAGGGAGCGCGGCCCAGGGGTGCATGCTGGCCACGTGGAGTCCTGTGCAGGCCCCACTGGGCAGGGGCTGGGGCCAGCCCCCATCGCGCCACACTGCCCGAGGACAGGAGGAAAGATGGACGAGAAGCCGGGGCTGCAGGCTCTGGTCCTCGTCTCGTTAACCACTGGTGAAGACACTAGATGGTGCCTGGCTTTCTGGGTCCAGACCTGGGGTTCCCTCCCCCACCCCAGCCCCTACTGGGCGAGGCCAAGCCTTGTGTGAAGCACGCAGGGTGCATCGCTGGGGCCCAAGGGGGCGCCAGGCGAGGGGCTGCTGGCGCCCAGCTTGTCAGCAGCCTAGGATGCTGGCTGGGGCTGTGAGCATCTTCCTTAACTCTGTCCTTTACCTCCTCAGTACCCACCACCCCTTATCCCTCCCCGGGGGGAGGTCAACGCTGCGGACGCCTTTGACATCGGCTCCTTTGACGAAGAGGACACCAAAGGCATTAAGGTGCACACGCGAGGGCCCCCTGTCTCCCTGTTGTTTGGGAGGGTGTGACGGGAAGATTTCCACTGAGAACCCATCAAGCAGAGTGATGCCAGTGTGGAAACCACTGCGATATTTGAAGCATGTGTAAGTTAAGAACCTACGTGAAAGCCGGGCGCCGGTGGCTCACACCTGTAATCCTAGCTACTCAGGAGGCTGAGATCTGAGGATCGTGGTTCAAAGCCAGCCCGGGCAAGAAAGTCCGTGAAACTCTTAACTCCAATAAACCACCAGAACACCGGAAGTGGCGCTGTAGCTCAAGCAGTAGAGCGCTCGCCTTGAGCTGAAGAGCTGAGGGACAGCGCCCAGGCCCAGAGTTCAAGCCCCACGACTGACAACAACAACAACAACAAAAAGAACCTACATGAGTTTGACTCCATGAAAACTTGGCTTGTACAGAACCTTGGTTTTACTCAGCAGGCTGCAATCAGAATTATTAACGAGCAGCTGGGAGAGTTGACTCATGCCTAGCTACTCAAGGGGCAGGGATTATGGGAAGATCAGTTTTGGGCCAGCCCAGGCAAAAAAAATTTGGTGGAACCCCATCTCAACAGGAAAAGCAGCCCGGCCCATCTCCCTCAGCCTCTTGCATGTGTCTCCTCGTCCTGTCTGTCCCTGTGCGGGTCCCCCCCCTCCCCGCCCTGCCCCACACACATCCGTCCCTTCCCTCCAGAAGGCCATGGGCTCTGGCTGGAGGAGGCCAGGAGGTGGGGGAGGACAGTGTGTGGATGCCAGGTCCCAGCAGCCAAGGACGGAGGTGGCTGTCTGGTGGGGAGAGGGGCTGCGTGGTGGGGGTTCTGGGGTGCAGAGGAGCAGCCCCCCGAGGTCCAAGCTGTGGCTGCCCTGATGGTGCTGCCAGACCAGTGCCAGACCACGCCGGCTCCTCCAGGCCTGGCCTGCGAGTGAGCCAGACATGCTGTGCTGGGCCGAGGGATGCATGCATGCACACGGCACACACGCAGCACGCACACGCAGCACACACACATGCAGCACGCACGCACACACGCGGCATGCACGCACATGGCACACACGCACGTGGCACACACACGCGGCACGCACACACATGGCACACACGCGGCACGCACACACATGCGGCACACGCACACACGCGGCACACACGCACATGGCACACACACGCGGCACACACGCACATGGCACACACGCAGCACACACGCACGTGGCACACACGCACATGGCACACACACGCGGCACGCACACACATGCGGCACACACGCATGTGGCACACACGCACATGGCACACACACACATGGCACACATGCATGTGGCACACACGCACATGGCACACACGCGGCACACACGCACGTAGCACATGCATATGGCACGCATGCACACGGCACACACGCACATGGCACACACGCGGCACACACGCACGTGGCACACGGACATGGCACGCACGCACGTGGCACACACGCACATGGCACACACACGTGGCACGCACACACATGCGGCACACGCACACACACGCACATGGCACACACGCGGCACACACGCACATGGCACACACGCGGCACACACGCCGTGGCACACACGCACATGGCACACACGCGGCACACGCACGTGGCACACGCACATGGCACACACGCGGCACACACGCACGTGGCACACGCACATGGCACGCATGCACGCGGCACACACGCACACACGCGGCACACACGCACGTGGCACACACGCACATGACACGCACGCACGCAGCACACACACGCAGCACGCACGCACACACGCGGCACACACGCACGTGGCACACACACATGGCACGCACGCACGCGGCACACACTATGCACGCAGCACGCTCAGGCCCGGCACGTTCTCAGACCCGAGACCTCTCCACACAGGAATCTCGGCTGCTTCTCCAGTCCTGGGGCTTGAACTCAGGGCCTGGCACGGCCCCTGAGCTTTTGGCTCAAGGCCATATCAGCTTCCTCCTCGAGCCACCTCGCCACGTCTGGCTTTTTGGTAGTTAATCGGAGATAAGAGTCTCACGGGGATGTTTTCTGCCTGGGCTGGCTTTGAACTTTGATCCTCAAATCTCAGCCTGAGAAGCTGGGGTGACAGGTGTGAGCCACTGGCACTAAAAAAGGAAAAAGCTCACTTCATCGATCCATGTAAACACAAGTTCTGTTCTTTTACGTCGTTTACCAACCCAGCCTGTAACACAGACACACACACACATGCGCACACGCATGCATGTGCATTCACACATGGGCGCGTGCCTCTCCTCACATTTAGGACTGGGGTTTCAGTGCGGGGCAGAGGTTGTGTGTTTGGAGACAGTGGGGTGGCTTCCCAGCGGGCGCCCCTCAGCTCTGCTCCACCGGCCTGCACGGGCGGGGCCGCTCAGGCAGGCCCCCCTGGCCGCCCTCCGTTCACCTCGGCCCGGCAGGCCCCCCTGGCCGCCCTCCGCTCACCCCGCTCAGGCAGGCCCCCCTGGCCGCCCTCCATTCACCTTGCCCAGGCATCAGAAGTCTTGTGAGAGATCATCTCACACATCTCACACTCTCTCTCTAAAGGGCGGCCCTGCTTCCTTTGGGGCGCTGTCTCTCAGACGCCAGAAGCCCTGTTGTCCGCTTAGGAGAGCAGGAGGAAGGCTTTGAAAGGCCATCATTAAAGTAATTGTTAGCACTAGTCTCAGAGGCTACGGTGGCCAAACCCTCCCTGTATCCTGCACTTTACATTAATCAATTCATTACTGTATTTAGTGCTGGCCCTGGAGCTTGAATTTAGGGTCTGGGCACTGCCCCTGAGTTGTTTTTTGCTCAAGGTTGGTGCTCTACCACTTGAGCCTTAGCTTTACTTCTAGCTTTTCGGTGGTTTATTGGAAATAAGAGTCTCGTGGGACTTTCCTGCCTGGGGCTGGCTTCGAGCCACCGTCCTCAGACCTCAGCCTCCTGAGCAGGGAGGCTGACAGGTAGGATGCAGACGCGCGCCACCGCGCCCAGCTGCACTTTAAATGTGAATGCATGGCGGTGGCGTTTGCTCGCCTGGAAGGTTTGGGGGGTGACGGGGAAACTCTGCCTCCAGCACCTGTGATTTCCTCACGGCTCCCGTGACTGCGGGAAGCTGGGACGGTCCCCTCCTCCCCCACATCCCCGCCTCTGAAACCTCGGGCTTCTGCTCTCCGGCTTTGATAAATCAAACATTCCTCCATGATTGCAGCTTCACCTGGCCTTGAGATCTTTATAAATCAAATATTCCCCCCCACCCCGTAATGGCAGCTTCACCTGGCCTTGAGATCTTTTTGTACTTAAAAAACAAACCACCACACGTGCTAGTTTTCACGTGCACATCGTGTGCAGCCGGGTGCAGGGCCGAGGGTGAGACGCTGCCACCTTGGTGGCCCCCACCGCCTTGGCCGTCACTGCCCGTGGTTTGTGACATGGACGGCCCCGTGGCCTTTGCGCCACCCCCTGGTGCGCTAAGTCCCAACTCTCTTGGTTTCTTGGCACGATCAGTTGCTGGACTGTGACCAAGACCTGTACAGGAACTTCCCGCTGGTGATCTCGGAGCGCTGGCAGCGGGAGGTGGTGGAGACGGTGTACGACGCGGTGAACGCCGAGACAGATAAGATCGAGGCCCGGAAGAGAGCCAGGAGCAAGCCTCTGGGACAGGAAGAAGGTGAGGACGAGCCACGAGCCCGCGCCCCGGCGATCCTGGGGCTCCCTCCGTCCTCCTCACCAGACCATCCACACCTGCCGTTTCTGCTTATTATTTTCAGCCGTAGGGCTTCATAGAAGTCATCTCCCCACAGAACCACATGGTGGGAGGGAGGAGTGACCCCTGTGTGACCTCTGACCCCATGGGCTCCAGTGTTGTGACGGGGGTCACTGCATTGCCCTCTTAATCTAGGGTCTTGCACCCTGAATTCTTTGGGGGTGTGGGGCAGCCAAAGCCCGGCCCAGTGGTCTGCCATCATGCCCAGACATCTCCCCCTGTCCCGCGCGGTCCTGTGTGACCTGGGGTGTCTCTGTCCCCAGGTTACGCGCTGGGGAAGGACTGCATCATGCACGGGTTCATGCTGAAGCTGAGCACCCCGTTCCTCACGCAGTGGCAGCGGCGCTACTTCTACCTCTTCCCCAACAGGCTGGAGTGGCGAGGGGACACCGAGTCCCGGGTGAGTGCAGGGCCGCGGCCGTAGCCGGGGTTCTAACCCAGCCTCCGACTGGGGGGTCCCCTCAGGGAGGCCTGCGTAGTGCACAGCCGTTCAGAGGGCCCGAGTGGCCAAAGGGGCTGGGGCGGGGGGCAGGGGGAGGGACGGGGTATGTGGGCAAGAACGGGGGCCACCACATCCGACAGCTGCTCACCCTCGCCTCAGTGTCTCTGGGACTTGGGGCCCAGCGCAGTGACGCAGCCTCAGTTTCCCCACCTGTGAAGTGGGAGAAGTGAATCAGTTGCCACACTGATTCTTGAGTGCTTCTCCAAGGCCAGGTTCTGTGAAGGGACAAATCCCATGCGTCCAGCCACCTCAGGGGTCCAGGGGAGGCCCAGCCTGGCTCGGGGGCAAGCTGGGGTGAGGTGGGGCGAGCGGCCATGTCCACGGTGGCCCTCGGTCCCTCCCCGGGTGGCCAGCAAGTAGAAGGTCTCCAGAGACGGAAGTGAGGCCCCGCAGGGCCCCGAGCACCCCGCGCCGCTCTGCGCTGGGGGAGGGCGGCCGCAGGCGGCAGGGGTCACAGGCCGGGCTGCTGCCTTCCCGGGTTCTGTTCACAGTGAGCGTGGACGGACGAGACAGAGGGAAGCCGTGGTGTGCGCTGCACCTGCTGCGAGCCGCTGGCGGAGGCCGCCTCTGCCAGACACGAGTGCCGGAGGGTGGGCCGCAGGCGGGAGGGGCGGGCCACAGGC